CGTCTTCGCAGTGTGGTTGAAACAAACCCCTATGAATTCACAACGCGTTGTGGGTGTCTTGTGCCCTCCCACCGTCGCGCCGCAATCGCGCATATTTCCCATAATAGTGTTCCCCCACAACTCCACACTTTTGGCGCGGCCCTGTGATACGCAGATTGTCAATCCACACGTGAAGGGTTAGTTCCGGCGGGGCTGCGAACCGCGGTTTGGCAACCCCGGGGTCCCCAGCCAAAACCGTTGTAATGGTATGCAAAATTTCTGGACTACATTTATACCCCATGGGGAGTCGCGTGAACTCAACGAGCTCACCCTTTTCTGTCTGGCAATGGAAATTACCGCGTGTCTCTGCTGGCAGGCCTACCTGGAAGAAAGATGCCTTTAAATCGAAAATGGCGGCTGTCTCATCGTAAACCGCGCCCAGGTATTGAGAAATATGCCCCAGAGGAACCAAAGCCTCGTAGTCCTCTTGTTCATTTTTAGCTTTTGGCCAGGCGATGAAACGTCGCCGTAGGCCCGACGGTTTTTCTTCCACTACCGTAAAAGGCACCACCCAACCGGTAGTGGGTAGCTTTGATACGGTTTGAATAATGCCGGCCTTCTTCATCGCCCGGGCATCCCCTTCTGTCATTCTCAAGAGGGGCTCTCGTTCCCCTGTCCGGAAATTAGCTGGCTGCCGCACCAAGTCCCACACCGTACCAAACCGTTTCAGAGCCTTAGAATTGAGCCAGCTCCGTACCCAGCGCAGTGAGAAAGTATCCACATCTACCTGTTGTAACGGTAACCTGCGTTCGCCGTTCTGATCGGCCACCCGCGTATGATGGGTACGTCGCAAAATGCTGTGCCCCTGAAAAAGTTGTCCCTTCTCCTCCCCTCTGCCAGGATAAGTCCATGAAGACATCGCCCAATTTCTGACCCCGTCCACATATATGCCGGCAGGTGTGCGGATTTGTTGACCAAAGCAACCCACGGCCCTATGTACCGCGCTGCGCTGCGTGGTAGCTCTAGGGGGTCTGCGTGTTTCCCCAACTGGGCCAGCAGGCGAGGGTCGAGATCGTGTTCGATTACCGCTGCGGCTGTATGCGCCAGCGTGCCTCCTTTTTATGGAATGCACTGTCATACCGAATGGGCGGAAAACGTTTTTCATGCCTCGCGAGGTTGGCGTTGTGAGCCTTTCCCCCTCCAACAATCCCTTGGTGACGCCTCTTGCTTTTTTTGCACCTTCTCGCCCGATAATCCCGTATGGCGCAGCTCGGCGAGGGTCGATCTTGAAAGTCTTTGGAAGAGCCCCCCAATCTACAATGAGGGCTTCCTTGGTTTGAGGGTGGGGAATAAAATTTTCCTTTTGGAGTAGAGCGATTTCGCCCCACCGACTGGCCGTGACCCAAGCGAGTCGTAGGGCAACCCGGTCGTTTT